TGACTTTTCTTGTGGAGCATAAGCTCTAGGCTCATGGACTTCAGTAGTTGCAGCATGCAACCTCAGTAGCTGTGGAGCACAGGCTTAGTTGCTCTGTGGCATGTGGAATCTTCCCAGACCAGGGACCGAACCTGTGTCCCCTGCATTGGCAGGTGGGTCCTTAACCACTGGACTACCAGCAAAGTCATATAACGTGTGTTCACATGTGTGTCTCCCTCACTGGGTAGTGGGCTCTAGGGCCTCTGCTCTGCACATCCTCAGAGTCTGCAGGATGGCCTGCTGAGGGTCCGCATTCACCAAATGCTCCTTGAGTGAGCCACTGTAGACATTCACAAGTTAACGAGTTGGAGGGTGAGCAGCCTCAGAGCCCCTCGAGAAGGACAGCCTCCGCTTCTGTATCACAGGAAGTGAACGGGGCAGTCGCTGATGCCTGTGTCCTGGTGCTTGAGCAATTTCTAAAACCAGCGCTTGCTCCTCTGCCTGTTTCCATGCTGCTGATTTTAAAAGCTCTCCCTTCAGGAAACATCTGAAAGAAAGACAGATGAACTGAAAGACAGACAACACAGACAACTGTCAAGTCAGAGAGAGATTGTTGAATAAGAAGGAAATGGCAGCCCACTCCTGTATTCTTGCCTGGAGAATCCCATCTACAGAAGAGCCTTATGGGCTATCGTCCATAGGGTCACAAAGAGTCGGACTTGACTGAAGTGACTGAGCACGTACACAAGGAAATTAAGACATACTTCTGTGTTCTTGTTGATAACTTTTTGGCACTCTGTCTAAAATGAAACCAACTTTTGTCAATACTTTAGAGCACGGGTCAATGGACTTTTTCTGTAAAAGACCAGATAGCAAATATATGGACAACCCGTGCTGTTGTAGTGTGAAAGCAGCCAGAGACAATATGTTAACAAATTGGTGTGGCCATGTCTCAATAAAACTTTATTTACAAAAACACCAGGGGGTTGGGTTGGGCTGGCAGGCCTCAGTTTGTCAGCTCCTGTCCTAGAGTGCTATGTGCTCTGTCATGTTCTTATAAAATTAATTAAAATTTCCTCATTATGCTATTTTTTGGTGTTCCCTTGCTATGGCTAATAAAAGGTCAGCTTATTTTAAAAAGCAAGACATTTTTCAAAAAATCATTTTAAAAAATGTGTGCAGTGGGGTGGGAGGGAAGTGGAATATGTGTGCATAGAACATGACTGTCTGAAAGAACGGCATGGTCCTTCCCAGACCCCAGTCAACCCTACTCTGTAACCCATCCTTTCCCGTCCCACCCAACCCATCCTTCTCACACGGGTCTGCAAGTCTAAGTTCTCATCCACCCTAGCCCTGGGACTCGGTGGCCAGCAGTTCTGCACCTGTGCTCTCCTATTCCTCTTGCCTCAGTGTCTATGCAGAGGTGCAGACTGAGTTTGAACTGATCACGGCCCTAGAAACTTTTCAGTCTTTTTATTTTCCTGCCAAAGACAGTGAGTTAAACCTACGGTTTGTCCCTTCTTTCACCTTTTCTCCCCAACTTAATTGTCTTTGTTCCAACTTAAAGGATCATGATGAGGTAAAAAAAAAAAAATCGAAAACTTTATAGCCACCATCTTTCACGCCCATCAAGTATGTTTTAGAGTCTAGAGAGGCCCATGTGAAACAATCTTGCTGGCAGTTTTACTGGCTTTCCAAAGGAGAGCTAAAATGTTCGTTGCCAAGCAACACACAGGCCCTGGCTACCTCCAACAATGTGGACTTAAAAATATAAAATTGTCCTATGGTTGACTTATGAATGGGGGAATCATGGGGAAACACACAGGGCAAACAGTTTGATATATCAGTGCTATATCTATTTATTTTGTCTTTGGTATCTTTTCCTGGGGCCTTTACAGGGTCACGTGGATAAATAACTGGGGTGTGCCTTCAGCAGAGCAACTAATGAACAAGACTCATCAGTAGGACCTTCATAGTACAGTTGATCCTCAGAATCATTTGCAGATTCTATGTTGTGAATTATGTTCAAAATCCATAGTTTTACTGCAATTTGCAGACATGCTTAGTAACAAAAACTTTGAGCCACCCAACATACGTGTTCTCAGCTCAGACTGGACAAGCCAACAGCTCTGTCTTCTTGTTTCACCTCTCATCATGTAAACAAGGGTCTTTTTTGCAGTCTATTTAGTGACACTTTTGTATTTCTATGCTTTTTGTTGGTGATTTCACTGTGTAAAGTAGCCCCCAAGTATAGTGCTGCAGTTGTCTAGTGCAAGAAGGCTGTGATTTACAGAAAAAACACATGTATGAGAGAAGCTTCATTCAGGCATGATATAGTGCTGTCGATGTAAGTTCAGTGTTAATGAATCAACAATATGTACATCCAGGAAGAGGAAATTCACTGATGTATATGCATCAAAGTTCTGGAAAGTACTCAAGTAACATCTAAGTGCATGATGATACTGTGGAAACAGGCTGTATTGGTGGATATTATTGGTGGATATTATGATATGCCCAGTTGTTTTTTTTTTTTCTTTTAAAGCATAGTGGAAGATATTGTAAGGCTGAAAGCCAAAGAAATTTATGGTCATGTTACCCAGAGTCAAGGAAATGTTAAATCCTTCTCAGCTAGTGTTTTATTATATAGAAGGTACATATAATTCATTATTTATGAGAAATAGAAATTAGGATGTCTTTAAATAGATATGCACATAAAACAAGGTTATGTGTTGATCAATTGATGAAATATTGTGACCCAGGGGTCTCAGGAACATAAACCCACATATTTCCCCTAGGAGCATGGCTCAGCATTCACTAGCTCAGGGTTCCTGGAGACTTAATAAAAATAACTGTCATGACTAATAAGAATTAACCATATATGATCACAACTTAACTCTGATGGGATGTATCTCCCACTTCCCATATGGAAGACAAAGGCTTAGACTTGTCCATGTACAGTGTCCATACTGAGAATGTGTGCCAGGAATGAGACTTGACTTCCCCATCTGGTTGTCAGCTCTGGAGGTTTCCATGATGTTCCTGATAGATATTTTGAAGGAAGATAAATGTTCAGAGCCAGGAGCTAGGGCTGAAGGGCTCCTCCTCCATACCCACTTACTTACAAGCTGCTATAACAGAATCCCATAGACTGAGGGACTTAAGTGAATTTCTCACAGTTCTAGAGGCTGGAAATCTGAGATCAAGGTGTTGGAAGATTTGTGCCTGGTGGGGACCTGCTTCCTGGCTCATAGGTAGCTATCTTCCCACTGTTTCCTCACATGGCAGAAGGGACAAGGAAGCTCTCTAGGGTCTTTTGTATAAGGGTAAAAATTTCACTCATGTAGGCTCCACCCTCATGACCTAATCACCTCCCAAAGGTTCAACCTCCAGATACTATCACATGGGACGTTAGGTTACAACACATGAATTTGGGGGAGATGTAAACATTCAGTCCATAGCATTCTCGTTCCGCCACTTTTATCACTGAGTGTTTTCCTTGAAGGGAAATTATGATGTATTTTTAGATTGCACTGGCACTGAGCCATAGTGAGCCCAGTATCTCCAAGCTGACACCTTAATTGGTCCCAGATGGAAAGGGGAAGCTATTGCTCTTACACAAGTCTCTTCTCCCTGAAGGTCTGATGCAGGTCACATGTGAAGTGGTTTTCTGTCTCTGAGGTCTAATCTCTGCTGACAGTGGCCTGCATGTCACAACGGGTCTCCTGAGCTGGAAAGTCTCTCTCCAGAGAGCTGACTGGGGCGGGGGCAGGGTAGGGGTGGGAGAGGGAGGGGGCAATGGCTAACTGCGGAAAGTAGTGAAAGTGTTAGTTACTTAGTCACTAACTTTGTGACTCTGTGGACTGTAGCCTGCCAGGCTCCTCTGTCCATGGAATTCTCCAGGCAAGAATACTGGAGTGGGTAACCAATCTCTTCTCCAGGGAATCTTCCTGACCCAGGGATCAAACCTGAGTCTCCTGCATTGCAGGCAGATTCTTTACCATCTGAGTCACGAGGGAGGCCCTGACAACCTGATTACAAACCTGAGGACAAACCCCTCTCTTCTGGCAAAACAAACTCAACCCAGGGCATGGGAAGCAAAGAGGCTCCATCAGACTTCAGGATCAGGGAAGGCTCCAGAGACAAAATGACATTTGGCAGCAGTTAAGAGGCAAGAGTTGATGACGTAAGCAGAAGCCTCTTAAAAGCAAGGCAGGAAGAATGTCAAGACAAGTTCAGGAATGAAAAAAACATGAGTTGTTCCTTCAGATCACTTTTTAAAGAGCCTAGATACACCATCTGTAAACTCCTGGGCCTCATTACTCAGGACACTGGCCCCACACAGCACCTGCAAAATCCCTAGAGGAGTCCCTTCTAGGAAGTTCTGTTTTCTCTTGCTGATTAAGTGCTTGGGTCTATGTCTGTGTGTCCCCGGTTTTAATCAGGAATATGAATACCTTTTCCTTTGTCACTACCATGTGCAAATATATGTTAAGAGACAATGGCAATAAAGTGGGTGCAACTCCTTGGCAAAAGAAACCTTGCATGTATTATAAACACATAGCTCTTCAATACAAATTCATGGATGGAAAAGTCCTTTTTTCATTGCAGGGATTGCCTGGTGTGGAAATTTGCAGAGAAAGGCCCGATGTGCAGACAGCATGCCCAATCATGGGTCACAGAGTTGTTCTCTCCCTATCCCTGCCTCTCATTTCTATTCCCAGGTCTCATTTTGGGCAGTGTCCTATGCATAGACACACAGGAATACCCCATCACAGCCAGGACAGTGGTGCCAAGGGAGGTGTTCTGCATGCTTTCCGTCCTTGGGGTTAGAAGCACTTGCTCAGCTGCCAACTACAAATAGCTTCATGTAGAAGATGATGTTAATTAGTACGCATTAAAAAAAAAGAGAGAAAAAAAACCTCACTGCCCACAGCCAAGCCATGTAGGGGCCCGAAGTCCTACCCTGACAGCCAGAGTGAAGCATGGCCCACTAATGCAGCCTTAATTCACTTTGTTGGCAGAGAAAGCAAGCTCACCATGCTGCTGCGGGAGTCCCTGGGGAATGTGAACTGCCGCACCACCATGATTGCTCACATCTCTGCCGCCGCCGGGAACTACGCCGAAACCCTGTCCACCATCCAGATCGCCTCGCGAGTCTTGAGGATGAAGAAAAAGAAAACGAAGGTAAGGGGTTTGCCGGGGGCGCAGAGGATGAAGCAGCTTTCAGAGCCCTGCCCTGGAACTGAGTCAGAAAGAGTGGAATCAGTATTTCTAATCCCCCAGCACCAGGGGCCTGGTGAGCTTGGCTGCCGAAGGCCTGTCTCAGCATCCACCTCGGGGCAGGACTACCTCCTGGCCGATATATTAGTCCTGTCCCCTCCCCGCTGCTGGTGATTGCCTCAGTCATCCAGCCTGGACTCCTAACGGGGAGTGCTTGGTTCACTTTAGAGAGTTTAAATGATTGCGACTTTGAGGTGAAAATTTTTAAAAGCAATGGGAAGTATCCAAAGTTTGTATCTTGCCTACCTTGGTCCTTCAACTGTTTGATCCCAAAGGGGACTGTTAGTTCACTCCTTGCTCAGGTGACCCTACTTCCCCTGCATTTCCAGGAGGCACTTTTTCAGGCCAAGGGGTGTTGTCCTATTAGTTCAGTGGTTGATTCTGGCTGATGAAACCACTGGGCTCATTTTCTCAGGCAGAGGCAAAGACAGGACAGTGGCGGTATGACAAGAATGTCTGAGAAAATCATCATGATTGTAGTCAGTCTGGTCTGTGGCCAGCTGGTGATTTGTGGGGGCTTTTCCCCCTCCTTTATATATATAAAAAACAGAAATAAATAAATAAATAAATAAATATGTATTTATTTATATATATGTATGCCCAATATATAAATATATATTAATTATATATATATAAATGTATGTATAAATATATATATAGACACACATATATTTGGTCAAAAGCACATCTTTCCAACCAGTGTCCCATGGCACAAACTGTCATACATGGCTTGGGTGTGCAAACTGGTGACCCGCTGAAGTCCTTAGGAGTCACATGGGACCTGGGCCAGTCACCCCCTTTCATGAGCAGCCTCTGCTTCCCCAGTGTGCCTCACAGGAATATGAGGGCATGATGTGCAGAGCTGGGGCACCCGGCCTGGCACATCTGGGTAATGGCCCGGGGTCTGGATGACCTGTGTGGAGCCAATGGCCTCCGCCATTTGCCTGGCCAGTTGTCCCACGACGCCACACTAACTGTTTCCTTCTCACTCACAGTACACATCGAGCTCCTCCGGGGGAGAGAGCTCCTGCGAGGAAGGCAGAATGCGCAGGCCCACCCAGCTGAGACCCTTCCATGCCAGGGCTGCCGTCGAGTCGGACTTCCCCATCCCTCACCTGTCCAGCGACCCCGACTACTCCTCCAGCAGCGAGCAGTCCTGCGACACGGTCATCTACATCGGGCCAAACGGCACGGCCCTCTCTGACAAGGAGCTGACGGACAATGAGGGGCCCCCAGACTTTGTCCCTATCGTGCCAGCCCTGCAGAAGGCCAGGGGTGACAGCCGGTCCACAGAGGCTGGAGAGGCCGGCGCCGGCAAATCGGAAAGGGACTGCTTGAAGTGCAACACATTTGCCGAGCTGCAGGAGCGGTTGGATTGCATCGATGGCAGCGAGGAGCCCAGCAAGTTCCCCTTCGAAGAGCTGCCGGCCCAGTTTGAGGCAGAGCAGGCAAGCAAGAGTGTCCCATTGAGCCAGGCAGCCGGGACAAGCCCTCTCTGTGAGTCTGATAAGGAAGACGATGGCTCAGACGGCCAGCTGACAGACAGAGAAGGTGCGGAGCCCCTGGCCTCCAAGTTGCAGCGGAATCACTCCCCAGTCCCTGCCGCATTGCTCACCAACAGCCCCACCCCTGCCTCACCCAGGAGCATCCCCGGCAGCAGCAGCCAGCACAGTTCTTCCCAGCTCGCGCAGAGCCCCAGCCTCCGGAGCAGCCGGGAAAGCCTAAACTCCTGTGGCTTTGTGGAAGGCAAGCCCAGGCCCATGGGCTCCCCCAGGCTGGGCATCGCCAGCCTGTCCAAGACCTCAGAGTACAAACCAGCCAGCTCTCCTTCCCAGAGATGCAAAGTCTACACCCAGAAGGGGGTCCTGCCTTCTCCAGCCCCGCTGCCCACCATGAGCAAGGATTCGGGCATGGTGTCTAGTGAGTCCCTGCTGCAGCCCGAGGTACGCACCCCCCCAGTCGGAATGAGCCCCCAGGTTTTGAAGAAATCCATGTCTACTGGGAGTGAAGGGTTCCCAGAAACCCCTGTGGATGACGATCATCAGGCAGCAACTTCCCCAGATTCTAAGAAGGAGGTTCTGAGCACCACAATGGTGACGGTGCAGCAGCCTCTGGAGCTGAATGGTGAAGACGAGCTGGTGTTCACGCTGGTGGAGGAGCTGACCATCAGCGGGGTGCTGGATAGTGGCCGCCCCACCAGCATCATCAGCTTCAACAGTGACTGCTCGGTGCAGGCCTTGGCCTCAGGCTCCCGGCCCGTCAGCATCATCGGCAGCATCAGCGAGGACCTGGAGTGCTACTCAAACGTGGCTCCTGTGTCCGAGGTCAGCATCACGCAGTTCCTGCCCCTCCCAAAGCTAAACCTGGACGAGAAGGCCCGGGAAGCGGGGAGCAGACGTTCCTCCATCAGCTCCTGGCTGAGTGAGATGAGCACAGGCAGTGACGGTGAGCAACCGTGCCACAGTTTCATAGCACAGGCGTGTTTTGGGCACGGGGAAGCAATGGCAGATCCTCCGGCCTCGGAGTTCGTCAGCAACATCCAGAACACCGCCGTGGTGTGCCGGGAGAAGCCCAAGGCAGGCCCCGACAACCTGCTCATCTTGTCTGAAGTGGGGGAAGACTCCTTCAACAAGGCAGCCCCCATCAAAGGCTGCAAGATATCTACCCTGGGCAAGGCCATGGTCACCATCTCTAACACGGCCAGTCTGAGCAACTGCGAAGGGTTCATCCCCATGAAGACGAACATCACAGTATACCCCTGCATTGCCATGAGCCCCCGCGGTGTCCAGGAGCCCGAGGTGTCCCTGGCCACCGTCAGCTCAGTCCCCAAAGCAGCCCAGTCCCAGGAGAGCGCCATGAGCCCCCGCAGTGGCCAGGAGCCTGAGGTGTCCCTGGCCACCGTCAGCTCAGTCCCCAAAGCAGCCCAGTCCCAGGGGAGCAAGGAAAGTGGTGCAAAGAAAGAGATGAAATTTGAGGATCCCTGGCTGAAACGAGAAGACGAGGTAAAAAAAGAGAATGCTTATCCCAATGAAGAAGGGAGTAGGTTTGAGACAGCTGCAGGCCCCCCAAAGCCTGAGGCCAGAGCAGAACAGGACAAGAAGGTCAGCCCCAGCGACAGGCTGAGCAACAGTAGCGGTGAGGTGTCTGCCTTCCCAGGGGCCGACAACTTCAGGAGAGTTGTGGATGGCTGTGAGATGGCCCTGCCCAATGTGGCTGCCCAGAGCCCCGTGCATCTCAACAAAAGCCTGAAGTCCAGCAGCCTTCCCAGGGCTTTTCAGAAAGCCAGCAGGCAGGAGGAGCTAGACAGCCTCTTCTACCACTGTGCCTCAGAGACCAATGGCATTGGCTTGGCTTCCAGCACCCAGCCCTCCAAGGCCACCCTGGAGAGGAAGGTGGCGTCCCCCAAGCACTGTGTCCTGGCTCGGCCCAAAGGGACTCCCCCGTTGCCCCCGGTCCGGAAGTCCAGCCTGGACCAGAAGAACCGGGCCAGCCCCCAGCACAGCGCCTGCAGCAGCAGCTCCAGCAGCCCCTTGAACCAACCTGCGCCCTTCTTGGCCAGCTTCCCCGACGAACCTAGTGGCAAGATGAAGGATGCCAGCAGCAGCAGCAAGCTCTTCAGCGCCAAGCTGGAGCAGCTGGCCAGTCGGACCAACTCTCTGGGCAGGACCACAGTCAGCCACTACGAATGCCTCTCACTGGAGAGGGCCGAGAGCCTGTCCTCCATGAGCTCCCGGCTGCACGCGGGCAAGGACAGCACCATGCCCCGCACGGGGAGGAGCCCGGGCCGCAGCGCCGGGGCCTCGCCCACCAACCCGGGCCCCACGCAGTCCGCCGGGGCCTCGCCCAAGGCCAGCCAGTCCAAGATCTCCGCCGTGAGCAAGCTGCTCCTGGCCAGCCCCAAGGCCCGCAGCCTGTCCACCTCCACCACCAAGACCCTGAGCTTCTCCACCAAGTCCCTGCCGCAGGCGGTGGGCCAGAGCTCCGGGCCGCCCCCCGGCGGGAAGCACATGTCCTGGTCCACCCAGTCGCTGAGCCGGAGCCGAGGCTCGGGCCTGGCGTCCAAGCTGCCCCTGCGGGCGGTGAACGGGCGCATCTCGGAGCTGCTGCAGGGCGGCGCGGGCGCGCGGGGGCCTCCCGGGCGAGCGTGCTAAGCGGGGAGCTGCCGCCCGCCATGGGCAAGACGGCGCTCTTCTACCACAGCGGCGGCAGCAGCGGCTACGAGAGCATGATGCGCGACAGCGAGGCCACCGGCAGCGCGTCGTCCACCCAGGACTCCATGAGCGAGAACAGCAGCTCCGTGGGTGGGCGCTGCCGCAGCCTCAAAGCCCCAAAGAAGCGTGCCAACTCAGGTAGGCGTGGGCACCTGGCGGGCGCTGGGTGGGCCCTGGGATGCAGGGATGGGAGCCCAGGCACCCCTGATCCCGCCACCTGTCACCTGCTGGGGACGGAGCCCTTCATGGTCAAAACCGACCTTCCCTCGGGGCATCACTCACACTTCAGGCTGTGATGCTCCTCAGTCCCACTTTGTCTCATGGAAGCTGCAGTGGGGGCAGCCCCTCCTCTGTCCCACTGCCTACTCCACACACACTGGTGGAACAGCACCGGCCTGAAATATCCAACATTCACACACAAACACACACACACACAGAGCACACCACCCCCTCACTATGGAGCCAAAATGCATGCTTTTGGAGGAAGTCTTTGCTATGTCCAGGAATCTCCTATCAAAAGACAAATAAGTCCTCTGGAGGAACTGCTGTGTATAAAGCCCACTGATTTGTTCATTGGAGTTTGGGGGAACATGTGATAGTAAGTTATGGTGGGCAAGGAGAAGACTTAGGTCAGAGCTGATGGCCCAGGTGGCCACAGGGTAGGTGAGGTGAAAGGTCAGTAAAAAAGAGAAAGGGACAGAGAGCAGACAGAAGGAACCAAGGACAACTGTAGCTACTTGAGAATTTGCTGACTCATCTTTGCTCTTAAATGGTCTTCAGAGAACTTGCTCCTACTCATCTTTAGTGCGGGACTCGTTTGTAACAAAGCTGTCTCCTGCAGAGCCTCGCATACAGTTCTGCACCTTGGTTGAAGTGTGAGTGGCCTGTTGTCCATCCCTCTTAGCCTGTCCTTAGCTACACTGTGGTCCTTCTGTGGAACCTGGAGCTCTCAGAAACCATTGCCCAGTGGAATATTGATGCCACCAGCACATTTGGAATTAAAAGATGAGATGAGACCCAGAAGGAAAGTCTCCTTTTTCCTGCAGCTGCTCCAACCAGCAATTGCTTCTCAGGTTTTTTCTCTCAACCCCAGGGTTGCTTTTTTTCTATTCTCACACCGCAGACAGGCACAAACTTGGGACTATTTCAGTTTAGATATAAGGACTGTGATCAGTGCACAAGATAAATCATTTGTCTGCCTCAAAAAACAAAAACAAAAACAAAACTTCATGGGACCACAGAGTCGTGTTGTAATTCTAGACCTTATGAAGTATTAATAGATTGCCCCATCCACCCATCCCATCACAGATCATGAAATGCCATGAGGATGTTAGCCTCCCAGCATGTTCGGGAGTCATCATGGCAGTCAGAATCTCAACATTTTTATTTCCCAGGTGTTGTGTGCATCAGGCCTTTATTCACTTTGATGGTGCTCCACATCAGGCCCTTGGCCCTGAATCTCACCACCAGACCTGGGAGTAGAACCCCATGTAATACAAGTGGAGAACAGAAATCCATTCGGTATGACATGACAACTGCTGGGTCCAATTTTCAGAGCCAAGACCATTAAAATGTATTGATAGTGGTTACTAAAAATAACAAGAAAGGTTAAGCCAGAGCCTTTGCAAAAAAAAAAAAGTCTGGCCTTCCCAATACTTGTTTGATAAACCTTATATATTACAATCTACCCAGTCTTGGTCTTCAAAATCCAGAATATTGTGAGACATTTGCTATGTGCTCACGTACATTTGAGTGTTATAGAGTGCTTTCACATACTCTAATTTAGCATTTTGAATCTACCTATCCAGTTTATTCTTTCAATAGCTTTACTCTTTTATATTTTTTTTTACTTGAATTGCTTGGTTTGGCTGTTGCACTGGAGAAGAGGGGAAGAAAAACTAAGGTAACTCCTTGGAAAGTGGACCACAGGCCCTGCACATGTCCTTGCTTGGTGCTGCCTCTGTTTGTAAATGTGTTCTCTGAAGGTCCCTCGTTAGGTTTGGCTGTTTGGCTGTTGGCTGGGTGCCAGAGATGGGATTTCATAGAGAGTGCTGAGGGCATCGAACCTCTGTAAGCAGCTGCCGTAGATCCTGGGCTCCCTAATGGATATGGCAGTGGAGATATGCTCCCTGCATTTGAGGTGACCTTGTCTCGCTTATTCATGATTATTATTAAGAGAAATGCTGGCTGTCAGACATGATCAGCATAAATCAAAGGCAACTTCTTTAAGAGAAGCCATAAAACTCCTCAAAGGAAATTCCTAGCTCGATGGCTGGATTTTACAGTTACTGGAGATGTTGGGAACTGCAGGGGAGGCAAGCAGTCGTCTGTTAGTGGAGGTTGCTTTCAAATTTGGAAAACTTCAATTCTTTTGTTATCTCCTTAGTGAAAACAAACTAGAAATATATTACTAGGAAGAAAACCTTGAGCTCTTTGAGTGCTTTGTAGTGCAAGTGGAGAAACCAACCATCCCAATGGTTCACCTTTCCAGTCCCATTCCTGGAGATCCGTGCTGGTGGACAGTGAGCAGAATTGGGCTTTTCCTATGGGCATGGTGCAGTGGGAAGGCTGAGCTAGAAAGGCAGGAGACTTGGGGTCTTGGGCTGTGTGACATTTACGGAATAACTATACTCTCTAGGCTTCAGTTTTTTCATGTAAAAGCAAAATGAAGGGGTTGGTAGAGAACGAACCACCATGGTCTCTCTATGCTCACATTGTATAAGATGATGCAAATAACATAAAGAATATTGGTGATAATATGACTTCCTTTCCATAAGATGATGCATAGTCAATGGGATTTATTTTTAAGTTGTTAAACACTGATCTGACCTCTTCTGTGCTGTTAGAGCTTGGTGATAGGAAAGTCACAAGTGTGTTTGGGAAGGGGCAGGCAGCATAGAAAACCAAGCCACTGTGAGAAGTATGTAATGTAATCTCATTGGATAGCAAGGACAAAGAACATGAAACAGAGAACAGTGAACCAGGAACCAAGATGTGTTGCCAAGTGCTGAGTAAGGAAGTGAGGGCTAAGGGGAGGAAATATTTAGACAAAGATGGCTCAGAGCAGTTGAAGAAGGCTATAGGGAAACACTGGGATTGAGCCAGGCCTTGAAGGATGCTGGGACAAAGGGCATTGTCAGCTGAGATGCTTGGGGCAGTAAGAGAATGGTTTATGGACAACAGAGTGGGATTAACTCAACAAGGGTAATATTCTTAATGGATGTGATGATAAACAGAAAACGTAAGCCCAGATCAAGTTATTCCTTGAACATCTGGCAACTATGATAAGAATTATTGCAGCTGGCAATGGGGAGTCATTTATAAGTTCTTGGTTGAGAGTGTCATAAGGTGACAGAAGCTGTGGGTTGCTTTCTGTTGATGGATTTTCATCTGTCCCTCCACTGTTCCTTGCCAGCCCCCCTGTGATAGGTGCATGGACATGTAGGTGTAACTGTTAGGCATGAAGTAGAGTTATGATAGCCAGTCCAGGTAGGGAGCAAATGTTCAACCTGTCCATAGGTTAGCAACTGAAGATCAGTTGCTAAAAGTATATGAATCAGTGATGGGCAGTGTATGGTGTGGCTGCATCAGCGGGGCCCCACCTGAGGCCCCAGCTTCCCACTGATAGCTCACTTATATCACCCATCGTGTGGTCCCTCCCTGACTCTCTCTTCTTCCTCAAGTTCCTGACACTTGACCCACACCTGGTGTGTTACCCTCTTGGCTTCTTTCTTTCTCCCCACTTGTCTCTCAGGCTGTCTGGGAAAATATGAAAATTAGGTTAGGTCTGAGTGAAGTTCATTTCCACTGCAGCAAACCCCAGTGTGGTGTGACCCTGCATCCAGAAAGCCCAGGAGAGAAGCCAGCCAGGGAGCATGTTGGTTCCGAGATGCACCCAGGGCTTGACCTGCCTGGCAGGAGCTTCTCTGAGGCCTGTTCAGCACTTGACTCAGCCTGCCAAGTCCCGGGCGCTGGGCTGGTGCAGGTTACCATGAATCAGGTAGACCCTGTTGATTGATTCATTGGTTGGTTGGCTGGCTGGTATTGTGGTCCTACAAGTTAGCTGAGTTCTTTTCTATGTACTTCTGATTGCTTGCCCTGCTGGTGACCCATGTTTTAAATACTGAACCTAACCTCTTATTTTCTTTCCCACTCTAAGCACCAAACACTGTCCCTTCCCTTTTCTGGGAGCTGAGTAAACATTACTGACTGATGGGTTCAGTTTACAGATCTTCTGCACCAGAATCTGTGACTGGTTACTCCTCCAAGGGCCTAGAGCACCGTGCTTCACTCTGTCCCCTCCCTGTGGCCCATTCAGTTCTCAGGTGCAATCTTATTTTGTTTTAATGAATTTCAGGAAACACAGTGGTCTCTAGCTTAATGGAAACAGGGCTATGGCAAGTGGCTTGCTAGCTAAATTAAGATTTTTAGAGTGTTTCTAAGAGACGTCATCTAGAAACATGAGAAAGGGTTCCAAATAAGACAGGCTTTTGGACAATAAGTTGGGAAAACATAGAAATCTGGCTCCCTAAGATACTGAGGAAACTCCTTAGAGTGCAGTGTAGGCGGAGGTGGGTGCAGGGCTGAGTGAGCATGTGAGGGGTCTGGGCTCTGCCCAGAAGACAGGTCCATGGCTGGCCATCTCCCCATCTCCTCTGCAGCCTGGGACAAGCTCACTCATCAGTTCGAGCCCTACAGCTGCCCATGCAGCCACGTCTGCATCCATCTGGGAGGCCTGGGGGGCTGGCTGGCTCTCGCTGGTCAGTAAATCCACGCTCACTGATCTTTCCGCTCCCCCTCCTCATCACTGATGCCTGAGCAGCCTTTCAGCATCAGTGCTTTCTGATTTTTGACTCACTGTCTTTCTAGTGATGGTTCCCTGGGTCTGAATGAAGATGGAGGGTGATGGCAGGAAAGCTGACATGGCGGGTTCTCTGTGGGTGGCTGGGGTGGGCATCTGTGTGTCCCCCAAGGCTGTTGTGGGCCTCGGCATTTGGAATGCCTGTGTTTTCTGACACTTGACCTAAGAAGCAGCATCTTCAGATTCAGTGTGGACACTTTTATTGGCACTCAGTGATAGTAAAAATGGAAAGCCTGACATCAGACTCCTTGCTGGGGTCATCGGCGCTGTGGAGACT